GTGGGGTCTGTGCTAATGCCAGTTGTTAGTGTCAGGACTGGACTGAGCTGTTGAACGCCAAGCTGGTGTCCGGAAAGTTGGCGAATTGGCTGGCGCGAGGAAAAACCGCCACACGTTAAGTGTCAGAAGTGCTGTGAGTGAAAACAGCGCATCAGGTAGGCAGATTTTCCTAGACTGAAATCCCGGTTCTTTCATTCACCATCTTTCTAACTTTGGACAAGTTTCTTAAGCCTTAGCTTACTTCCTCATCCTTAAGAAGGATATTATAAAACTCACGTAGGATTAAATAAGACAATATTTATAGAGTTCAAGAGCAGTACCCATCATGTAGCAAGTCTCAATAAATATCAGCTCTTATTAATTAGAAGGATTGAAATGGCTCTAATGTTCTGTGGTCAATCAACCCAGCAGGGTTCAAGGGTCCTCAGATGGTCCAGTTAATCACATGGAGGCGACCACACGCACCGGAGTTTGAATACTTAGATGGAAAGAGAAACAGCAGAAGAGTATAAGACTGACAGGAAATAACCCAAGAGAACATAACTTCTACTAAAGGGCAGAGGAGGTTAGAAGGTGTAGAAAATGACACAGTTGAAGAGTATGTCTCTTGGAACCAAAGAGGGAGAACCTGGAGAGGTAGAAAAATGGTGTCTCAATCTTCAGTTCAGAGCCAGTGGCAGTCTGAGAGTCTCTGATACAGCTTTCCAACACATTAGCAGCTGAAGCCGCCTTTTAACAGGATGAACTCACAGATATATGAGAGTGGCCTTGGCTGTGTGGTTGATTTTAATAAAGGCTGCAATTTTGTTTTAGCCAAAGAAGACACTGGTTATTTTCTTCTCATTAAAAAAAATACACTTGTTGGCATTTTCAGGAGTGACTGTTATCTCATGTCAAAGGCATATATGTTCCATTCAGGGCGAAATATCCGTGCTGAGGTTTGCCTCTTTCGTCCTCTTGGGGAAATACTACACTGAAGGAGAACTGCTAAAATAGCAATTAAAAACCGACTTATATTTAGCATCAAATACAGATCCACGATTAACCACAGGCTGGTGTTTTCTGCTTCCCTGAAATGCACTGCAAGACTGAGAAGTATGGCCCTGTTACATATGTCTCTAGACAGAGTCACTGGGGCATCCAGAAAAGCCGCAGCTACAGGAAATTGGTTGGCCTCCTGACCGATCAGGCTCATCCTCGTGATCTAGGCACCAGTCTTTGGTACGGTTTGCAACTTTCAGGTAGGTCATTTATGGAAGTTAGAAAAGGAGTGACTGTGAACTCAGTCTTCGAGGTTATTTCACACGTTCTCAATACTGAGGTCACGAGTGAATGAGTTGTGTTTGAATGTAGAGAAATCGGAAAGCAGCCAGTCCAGGTAAATGAGGGCAGCTCGTTAGATATCTCCAAATGTACTTGACTCTCCCAGTCGTAGGGCAGCGATTATGGCCCCCAGATGTATGTAGAAATGTTATTTCAACAGCATCTTAGGGGAGAGATGTAAATTGAATGCATAGGTATAAGGAAGAATTTTGTAATTCAAGATAAGCTTTTACCAATTTTCAAAGCAAACTCCTCAAATCAAGCAGAGATAAATCAACATGGTAATGAAAGAGAGCATCCAATTAAAAAACAATTGAATAGATTTTTTTTCTTCCCTTAGGTTACAGTTGTTTAAAATATGTTTTTCAAACCTAAGAATATAATGATTTTATGATTTCTCAAATCAACAATATTTGGAAATGCCCTGGTTCTGGCTCCAGTGCAGGGGTGGAGGGGTGGGCAGGTCAGGAGGGGAAGTTCTGCAGTCTTTGGGAATCAGCTCGTGGGCCTCTATCACCTTGTGTCCAAATACTAACAGTTGGTCTGCAGGGCTCGCTAGGTGACGGCTGTAGAAGCTTTGGTCTCTTTCAGCTGGAGAGAGCTACACAGGGGTGCTTCCAGAAAGCACTCCCTGTGCTGCAGGCACAGCCAGGCTACCAGTCTTCTCTGGATCCTTTCTTGAATGCTCAAGCCTTCTAAAAGTGTTTGGTGTGTATTTGGCATGTTCAGAGTAACCAAATCTTACAGATACATAGAGTCTTGAGAGAGGTTAGCTACATTTCCAAACTCATAACAGTTGTCACGGACAGATGAGGGAAATGCTACTTCTTTGTCCACTTTGCCATGGTAAATTAGGCAAAACGAGGGAAATCCAGGGTTCACTTTACATTTTGCTTTATCATTTAACCCCTGACATCAATCATTTTTTTATGGGCCTATTAAGCAGGCCTAGAAAGGGCCCCAGCAGCCACGTGCTACAGCCTGCTGCCGTCAGGCAGGTGACCTCGGTTCCTCTGTGTAGGTTACATCTTACTGACCTCATCCTCAAGATCCACGTTTGAACACGTTTCACTATTTCATTGCTTCATCTGGACCATGAATCAAACCATTACACGTACCTCAAAAAAAAGACTGAAAAGTGCATAGTTATCCTAAATGTAAGTACAAATCTTGTTTTTGTTCTAATGGGGATTCATGATATATTTATCCGTGAAATTTTCTTCCAAAGCAATAGATTCACTAGAGGTCAAATATCCAAACGAAGAAAAGGCCTGAAGAGGTAACTAAACTCCAGCCACACCTAAACCATGTCACACTAAATCTGTAAGGTCACAGTTGACAGGCTCAGAGGTGGCTAAGTTACAGACGACGACGACAACGTAGTCTTCAGAACCATGCGTTACACCAAGACCTGAACGGATCCGAGACAGGAAGAGAAAGATTAAAGGACTGAGTTATGCTGATGTATCCGTAGCTGAGAACAGCTATCAAAGGGCAGCAGGCGTCTGGGAAAGAATCTGCTTTTTAGCTTAGAAGCCAGAAATACATTGGCATTGCCTCTGGAATTGGAATAAAACCAATTTTAAATTGGTTTTAAAGCCTGGAATGGAACGTTCCTGCAGTCATCCGTGAACCAACCTTATCCTGTAGAAGCTGAGTGAGCCCTGGCCAAACCATCTGCCTTGTGAATGGTTTTGTTTGGGTCCCTCATAGGACAGGAAGTTCTTGTGCCATAATTCCACATCGAGTTACAGTGTTTTGTGGTGTAGCCTGAGCAGGGAATTAAAAAAGAGGAAAAACCTCCAGAGGAAAATCAAGTGCCTTCACTGATGCACCCGAGGGGCTGGGTGGACCCGCAGAGCTGGGTGGGCGCGCCTGGGGGTTGGGTGGACCTGCAAGGCTGGGCGTTGGCGCCCACTTTCCTCCACGCCTCTCTGGCAGAAGAGGGGCAGCTGGACAAACAGACTGCGTTAGTGAAGGCCAAACAAGATGTTTCAAGGTTGATGTAACTTAGAATCGCACTAGATTCACTGTGGTAACCGCAGGGCTTCACGCACAGCCCCATGTCCATAACGTGTGGTTGAAGGAATGGTGGCTCCGGAAACGTGCATGCGTGTGGGGAGCCCTCCCGCTTCCCTGTGCCCAGGACGTGCGCCACTCACATCGCACTGGGAAGAAAGATGGGCCAAAGGGTTCCTCTTACAGTCCCCGTGGAGGGGGTTTCTCTACTTCTTCCTTAAGGAACAGGGGTTAGGGAGGAAACTAAAGGTGCTCAACAATTCCCAACTCCTGAAACAAAACGGCAAGCCAGCTGCTGATGAAGAGCTCAGTCTAAACTAGCTTGTAAATAAAAACCCCACTTTCTCAGATTGGAAATAGTTGAAATAAGTAAACCTCACCTAGAACTTTCAGCATTTGGATTTGAATGGCTACCAAAGAAGTGGGAAGGAAAAAAGAGCAAGAAAACCAAACGTAGCTGCTGAGTAACAGCAGCAACTACAACAGCAACAACCACCACAAGCTTTTGTATACAGGGTTTTCTTTTTCTTTCCCCAAAGGAATAACGTTCTATTGCTTAAAAATAGGCCAAATTCTTCAAAAATGTCAGTGCTGGGAAAGACGGAGAAAGGCTGACGAACGGTTCTAGACGAATGAGACCAAAGAAGCGTGATGACCAGACAGAGTTGTGACCCAGCCTGGGTCCCGCCCTGGAGGGAAAATGCTACAAATGACATTATTGGGTCAACTGGCAAAACCGCGATACAACCAGCAGATTAGTTAAGGTATTGTGTTAATGTCCAATTTATGGAAGGTTAGGTAAAAGAATGTCCTTATTTTGGAAAACCCACACTGAAATATTTAGGGATAAAGGGCCATGATGTAGACAACTTACTTAAAAACTTAATCGATTAATTGAAAATTGAGATACAATTGACTAAGGTTTTCAATTTTATGATCCACTTTTAAGTATATTACTTGGAGGTGCCAGATCTTAACTCTGGAATGTTTTATAATTTCAGGCTGGTACCCAGGTGAATGGAATCTCTTTGAAAGGACAGCAGCCAGGGAGCTGCAGGGATGTGATATTGATCCGGGGACTCACATTTCAGAGGATAAACACTTTATCAGGTCTAACAGTTACAGTGCATACACGTACTTGTAGTTATTCTTGAGGCATGCTCATTAACAGGCTTTACCCGGACAACTAACACTTGTACGCCCCAGCAGAGCAAGAGCATAGAAGGCGTGCTGCTTACACTGTAGAGCAAAAAGGGTCTTTACACTTAGTGAAACCAATGCTCCCAAACTCAGGGCGACACTCGAGAACCATGTATTTCATCATAACTCAACCTGACACAAATGGGTATTTTAGAGCCAGACCATCTGGCTCAAATCCCAGCTCCACCACTAACCACCTGCATGACTTTTAGCAACTCACTTCACCTCTCTGTGCCCCAATTTCTTCCTCTTAAAATGGGGCTAATAAAAATACCTACCTCATCATGTTATGAAGAGGATTAAATGAGTCAGCACTTTCAAAACACAAGACTGCTGGCCCATGGTGAATAATCCATGAATGTTAGCTTTTAACATTAACTAAATGCTGCGATACCGGAAACAGATGAAGAAAAGGATGCGGTGGCATAAATCTAGGTATCCAGGACTTTGATATTCACCTATAACACAGAAGGGCTTCCGGGCAAATCTCAGTCTTCCTTGCCATCCTCTGTACCGGCAACAGCAGCCTGCAGACCAGATTCGAATGATGAACTCCAAACCAAAGACAACGATCATCACAAACTCCTAAAACATCAAATGAGGCACATGTCAGAGAGAGGTATTACGGATCAAACCACAGCAGCAAGCTCTGTGGATATTTCCGGACATGCAGGCACTTCATCTAAAATATCTGGTTGTTAAAGTCTGAAGTTAACATCGCCTTTTCTCCAAATCAAGCTAAACCCGGAGAACATCGGAATTGTATTTCCTATCATGCATGTTGTATTTCCTATCATGGACATTGTATTTCCTATCATGGAATGCTATTGTACTTCCTATCATGCACATTGTATTTCCTATCAAGGAATGCTATTCCCCTTCAAGTCTCTAAAGCTTTGCAAGTTTAGGAGTCTGTTTTAATTCTAAATATGCAGGCTGAATTACGGATCCCCTTGTCTGGAATACACAGTCCCTTGAGATTGGTTCCAGGACCCCATGGACACCAAAATCCTCAGATGTTCAAGCCCCTTATATAAAATGGAGTAGTGTTTACATAAAACCTACACACATCCTTCCATATACTTTAAGTCATTTCTAGATTACTCATAATACCTAATACAATGTAAATGATTTGTAAATAGTTGCTGGCATGCAGTTCGAGTTTTGTTTCTTGGAACTTTCTGGAATTTTTTTTTCAAATATTTCGATCTACGGTTGGTTGCATCTGTGGATGTGGAACCTGCAGGTAAGGAGAGCTGACTGTATAGTGCTATTGACCTTAGAACCCGGTAACATGTGAAATATCTGAAATGAAAGAGCAAACCCTGAAAACACAGCTTCACAGTTTTACAGAAAACAGACCCTCATTTTGCTGCAAGGAGTGACATAATCCCTGAGCCCTTAAGAGTTGTTCTCAGAGAAGTTAGTATTTAGGAGGATACTGAGTTCTTTTGTTACGATGTCAAAATCTCCTTATAAGACAGCAAGTTTTGACAGTGTTATTGTGTGTGGCACATACATCCTTTGCCAGAAATGAGACCCTGAAGCCTCTGGATCTGATGCTTGTTAATTATTAGGTTGCCCTTTAGTGAGAGCTGCCTTGAAAATAACACTTGCTCCAGCAGGAGGGCTTTGAGATTATCTAGGAAGAGTTGTGAGTGAACCCTGGAGAAGGCCAACTAAAGAGGCTCATTAAATGTGGGTCACAGACTGAGAAACCACCGGACTCTGTCAGAAGAAAGCACCTCTGGAGCAGACCTGTCACAGTCACCTTGTTGCCCCTCTATAGGGGCAGGCACTGAGTTTATCACATTTGATTTGTTTTCCTTTAAACATATTTCCCTCTCTTGGGCTTCCCTGGTGGCGCAGTGGTTGAGAGTCTGCCTGCCGATGCAGGGGACATGGGTTCATGCCCCGGTCCAGGAAGATCCCATATACCGCGGAGTGGCTGGGCCCGTGAGCCATGGCCGCTGAGCCTGCGTGTCCAGAGCCTGTGCTCCACAACGGGAGAGGCCACAGCAGTGAGAGGCCCGCGTATCACAGAAAAAAAAAAAAAAATTCCCTCTCTTGTTTTGTTTTTTTAAAAATCTCTCTCTTGTTTTTAAACAACGGTTGAGTCAGCATTTATGATGTAGAACAATATTTATTACTTGATTTTTGTTATAACTGCTTAATTATAAAAGTGATACATGGTTTTTATTAAAGTCTCTAAACATCACAGACGTGTTGAGTGTACAAAGTAGTCCTAAGCCACTCCCCATCCTCCCACGTCCCAAGATAAAAACTGTTATCAAATTTAGAAAAATGGCATTTTTGTTGCAAGTTTCAGGCAAATGTGTTTCTTCAGTTAGAGCATGTGATGATATATTGCACTTTTGAAATGCCTAGTAGAGATACATCATTCTCTCCTTCTGTTATTTTGCACTAAGTAACCCACAAATATTTCTCATCATGGGAAATAAATCTCCAATATCATGGCTGCTTACTTACAGTGACTTAAAACTACCCGTGGGCTAAATCTCCGCAGATGACTTTATGCAGATAACTAAAGCCATGGTCAACGCACACTCATTCATGATATCAGGGTTTTGTTTTGTTTTGCTTTTAGTTTTGAGTATATATCTAGGTAGTTGAGTTTATTCATTCATTAAGGTGGCTGAAGTGCCACGTTAGGAAGAGCTGGGAGTGAACCCTGGGGAGGCCAGGCTTGTTTTAATCCTTCTCTTTCCTCATACAGAGCCTGCTGAGGCCCCAGGTGCCCAGCAGCCGTGTGTCCAGTGCACATTTAATGGCAGGGCCATTTTATCCCGGCCGCCACCTCCTACTTGAGCCAGGAAGTCCGGCACTCCACTTGTGGGGTCCTATTATCAGGGATAGCTAAGAAAATCCCAAATGTGGCCTGAGCAACTGGCACTACAGTAGAATGATTTTACTTTTTCATGGGAATAGCTGCTACCAGCCAATGTATGGCCAATAATCTTTAGATATTGAATAAAGAATATTAGAATAAAGTAATATCCTATTACTTTAGGAAGGCAGGTCCTCACTGCATCATTTCTATGTCATATCCTGAGGCAGATAAATTACATCTACAAATTCTTTATTCAGGGTCCCTTGTTCAGGAATATTGCCTCTTGAATTTTTTTTTTTTTTAATTATGTTGGGAAAAATCCTTCATTTCCAAATAAAGCAAGAGGAAGTTGTAATTGGATTTCACTACAGGGTCACAGTTTCTGCCTCGGAGAAGTAAGACTAGGGTCAGAATTCTCTCCTACTAGAGCATTCCTTAGTATTCTTTATGAGGGCCTCGTTTTAGACTTAGTGAGCGATAACCTCAAACTCTCTGGTCACCGAGTGAGCAGCAGGGGGGTGTCTGTGCAGCATTTCCCTCAGGCCCGGAGCTATAGGACATGGGGATGCTCCCTCCCAAGACTTGAGCTGATTCGATTGGGAGCAAAAGCATGAAAACCACTTTGACCAGATTCTGTCTCTTTGTTTCCTGAAATTTCCATCTTATTTCAATTAAAAGGAACAAAGTTCTATTGAGAAAGAGGGGGGAAAGGATTCCAAATCTGACAGTCAGACCTGGTGGGGAATGGAATTGTGAGAAGAGCACCTTTTCTCTTTTTTCATTTTCCCACTTTGTTGAGGTATAATTGACAAATAAAAGTTCTGTATATGTGAGCTGTACCATGCGATGTTTTGATGTACATAGACATTGTGAAGTGTTTACCATAATCAAGCTAATTAACATATCCATCACCTCACATAGGTAACTTTTTTTTTTTTTTTTTTTTGGTGAGAACACTTAAAATTTAATTGCTTAGCAAATTTCCAGGACACGCTAACACTACTGTTAACTGTAGTCACCAGGCTGTATGTTAGGTCTCCAGGACTTATTCATCCTGCATAATTGAAACTTGGTGCCCTTTGTCCAGTATCTCTCCTTCCTGCCCACCTTCCAGTCCCTGGCAATCATTCTACTTTCTGTTTTTATGAGTTTGACTTTTTAGATTCCACATGTAAGTGAGAACATGCAGTATTTGTGTTTCTCTGTCAGACTTATTTCACTTAGCATAACGTCATCCAAATTCATCCATGTTATTGCAAATGGCAGGATTTCTTTTTTAAGGCTGACTAATACTCCCGTCTCTGTCTGTCTACCTATCTATCTATCTCACATCTCCTTTATTCGTTTGTCCACTGATGGACACTAAGGTTGTTTCCACATCTTGGCTATTGTGAATAATGCTGCAGTGAACATGAGGGTGCAGATATCTCTTTGAGATCCTGACCTCACTTCCTTTGGATATAGGACCAGAAGTGGGTTGCTGGTAGCTCTATTTTTAATTTCCTGAGGAATCTCCATACTGTTCTTCGTAGTGGCTGCATCAATTTACATTCCCACCAACAGTGCACGAGGGTTCCCTTTTCTCCACACCCTCTCCAGCACTTGTTATCTTTTGTCTTTTTGATAATAGCCATTCTAACACATATGAGGTGATACCTCATTGTGCTTTTTTTTCTTAATTTTTAGTTGCTTTACAATGTTGTGTTAGTTTCAGGTGTACAGCAAAGCGAATCAGTTATACATGTACATATATCCACTCTTTCAGATTCTTTTCCCGTATAGGTCATTACAGAGTTTTGAGTAGAGTTCCCTGTGCTACACAGTAGGTTCTTATTAGTTATCTATTTTACACATAGTAGTGTGTATATGTCAATCCCAATCTTCATGGTTTTGATTTACATTTCTGAGGATTAGTGATGTTGGACACCTTTTCATAATACCTGCTGCCCATTTTTAAATCAGGTTATTTTATTTTTTGCTATTGAGTTATGGAAGGTCCGTATATGTTTGGATATTAACTTCTTATCAGATGTTTGGTGTGAAAATGTCTTCTCCCATCCCAGAGGTTAGGTCTTCACTCTGTTGATCATTTCCTTTTATGTACAGAAGATTTTAAGTTAGATGCAATCCCAGGTATTTATTTTTGTTTTTGTTATCTGTGATTTTGGAGTCATATAAAAAAACCCAAAAGACAAATTCTGTATGATATCACTTATAAGTGGAATCTGAAAAATAAAACTAACTAGTGGATATAACAATAAACAGACTCACCAATATAGAGAACAAACTAGTGGTTACCAATGAGGAGAGGGATGCGGGGAGGGACAAGATAGGGGTACGGGATTAAGAGGCACAAAATACTAAGTATAAAATAAATAACCTACCAGGATATACAGTACAACACAGGGAATAGAGCCAATATTTTATAATAACTATAAAGGGAATATAACCTTCAAAATTGTGAATCATTATGTTGTACACCTGAAATTTATATAATATTGTACATCAACTGTACCTTAATTAAAAAACAAAAAAAACATTGCCCAGACCAATGTCAAGAAGCTTCTTCTCTATGTCAGACAGAGAAAGACAAATATCATGTGATATCACTTATATGTGGACTCTAAAAAAAGGGTACAAATGAACTTTATCTTAGAACAGAAATAGAGCTACAGATGTAGAAAATAAACTTATGGTTACCCAGGGGTAAGGGGGTGGGGAGGGATAAACTGGA